CTACTCAGGAGACTGAGGCAGGAGAATCGCTTGAACCCGGGAGGCAGAGGTTGCAGTGAGCCAAGATCGCGCCATTGTACTCCAGCCTGGCGACAGAGCGAAACTCCGTCAAAAAAAGAAAAAAAAAAAGCGAATGAACAGAAATTGGTGTCTCAAAGGGATTTAGCCTAGTAGGGGAAGTCACAAATCAGCTGAGATATAGTGTGGGGAGGAATGAACCACCCAGGCAGTGGGCAGAGGGAAAAGAATGTTCAAAGGCCCCATGGACGAAGGTAGGAGTATGGAATATACCAGAAATGTAAATTAAAAAAAAAAAGTGGGGGTGACTGGAGAGGAAGAGAGAACAGGCTGAGAATATGCTAGGGATGGGAATGGTGGCAGGAACGCAGAGAAGAAGTGAGCAGTCCAGGCAGATGATGGTGCCCGTGTGGATGGAGATGGTCTTGGGAGATCCACGTGGAGTTAAAATACACTTCACCTGGACTAGATGCCAGGTGATGCAGAATGTAGAAGGAATGATTTCTCCATTTCTGGTTAGCACTGAACTGAACAGACAATGGTGTCATTCATGGGGATAGGGATCAAGAGGCCCAGATTTAGGAAGATAACGAATTTGCTTTGGGATGTGTATATTGAACTTAAAAGCCTCTGAAGCATGGAATCAGCAGACAGATTACAGAGGTTTGTCTTTTACAGTAAAAGTGGCTCTGTATAAATTCGCGAGCAATGACATATATTTATAGATGGCAATGAAACTGCTTTGGGGTCAGCCGCGGTTGCTCACGCCTGCAATCCCAGCATTTTGGGAGGCCAAGGCGGGCAGTTCACTTGAGGTTTGGAGTTCGAGATCAGCCTGGCCAACATGGTGAAACCCCAACTCTAATAAAAACACAGAAATTAGTCAAGTGTGGTGGTGCACAACTGTAGTCCCAGCTACTTGGAAGACTGAGGCAGGAGGATCAATTGAACCCGGGAGGCGGATGTTGCAGCAGAATCAGATCGCGCCACCGCACTCCAGCCTGGGTCACAGAGTGAGACTCTGTCTCAAAAAAAGAAAAGAAAAAGAAATTGCCTTGGGAGTCAAGAGGGCATGGAGGGAGCCTGGAGTCAATAAAAATTTGCAAAGACGGGCCTGCAAATAAGACGGGGAAAGACCCGCCAAGTCAAGCCACTAAAACTCAGTGTTTTAGTGTGATCAGAAGGAAGCGGTGCTCAAACGCAAACGCTGCTGAAAACTCAGGTAAGCCGAAAATGCAGAAGTGCTGGATTTGGCAAATTGGAGGCCACTGGTAACTTCAGCCAGTTTCCGACAGCGCTCAAGGGGATGGCTGGAGTGGGCTGAAGAGTTCACGAGAGGCGAGGAAAGGAAATGGCTGAAACCAGACAAGTCGGAGCTTGCCTGTGGGTAGGAAGAGACAGAGAAAGTGGCCGCAGGTGGAAGATGGAAGAGACGCAAGTGTTTAGTTAGTTCTTAAGTAGGAAAACGTGAGCACGTTTCAAAGACGATCGGAAGAATGCTCTGAGGAGGGGTGATGACTGGAGGGGTGCCCCGCGGTCCCCCACCCCCCCCACTGCTCCCCCGCGTTCACCCCCGTCGCCCCGGGCTCCCCTCCCCCTCCCCACTCCTCCAGGCTCCGGGGCGGCAGCCACCCCGATCCCCCCGCCCGGCCCCCAGCGCCTCCTCACCGCAATGGCCCCCTCGCTCAGTTGGCCGACCATGGCTCCGCCGCACTGGCTCCCTTGCGGACCCCACGGCAGCCCGAGCTTCCCACCGCCCCGGGTCCCGCGCGCTGCGCAGTTATTGGCCCGAGGAGTTGCGCGCGCCGCTCCCGCCCCCGACGTGCGTGCAGCACAGGGGCGGGCCCGGGAGCTGCGCAGCCGCCGCATTGGCCGAGGCGCGGCCCACGTGACCCTCCTGCCGTCCCGAGCTAGGTCTAGGGCGCGGCGGGTCGCGGCGCGACGCCACAAGGGGTGCGCCTGGAGCTGCGCGGGCGCGGGGAGGGAGCTCCCGGCCCAGTTCCGGGCGCCGAGAGCTGGCGTTTGGAGGCGTTCCCGCCTCGATGTGTGGCGGGAGCTCGGGTTGGTAGCCCAGCGGTTAGAGCTGCTCTCCGAGACGTCTGCTGCCAAATGTGGTCGCAGCAGTGACTCGGCTCCTTCCTCCAGCGGCGCGGGGCTGACTTCCCGCCCGGGCCAGACCCTGAGCTTGACACCTGCGGGGGTCTTCGAAGACCTGGTCCCGGTCCTCCGAGGAAGGACAGTCTGTGGGGGCACTTTATGCCGTGAGTAGCCCTACCTCCAGGTGGACGTGGGTCAGCAAATGTGCATCATACAGCTTAGAAATAATAATTACCAGAAGGCTGGGCACAGTGGCTCACGTCTGTCATCCCTGCACTTTGTGAGACCAAAGTGGGTGGATCACCTGAGGTTGGGAGTTTGAGACCACCCTGGCCAACATGGTGAAACTCCGTCTCTACTAAAAATACAAAAATTAGCTGGGTGTGGTAGTGCATACCTGTAATCCCAGCTACTTGGGTAGCTGAGGCACGAGAATTGCCTGAACCTGGGAGGCCAAGGGTGTTGGAATCCCAGCTGGGAAATCAGGGAAGCCTTCCCGGAGGAGGTGCCATTTGCACACAGTCGAAGACGTGTGGGGGTTTTCCAGGTGGACTCCATAAGCGAGGGCAGGGTTGGTCCGCAAAGCGTGAATAGCCTATGCGAAAACACCGGAGTAGTCTGGCAAGCTGGGACAGCAGTGAGTGGCTGAGTATGCAGGGGTGCAGAGGGAGAAGAGAGGCCTGGAGTTAGAAGGTCAGCCAAGGGGTAAACAGGACAGGTTCGACCTGGGCCTCCCGGATGCTAGGAAGAGCACTGACTTCTTAGTGTTGGAGGCTGGATTGAGAGAGAGTGGGCCCAAGGGCAGGGACACTAATTACGACCCTCTGGGAAAAATACCAGACAACAGATGGTGAGGATTTCAAGCGAAGAAATGGCCTGTGGCTTCAAAGAGGACGCTGAACTATGAGAGAGAAATAGCTGTTAATTGAATGGTTGCTGGGCTGGGTGAGAAAGGAAAATCTGGATCTCTCTCAGGTTTCAGACTTGAGAAACGAGGCGGGCTCAGGCCGGGCACAGTGGCTCACACCTGTCATCCCAGCACTTTGGGAGGCCCAGGCCGGCAGATCACCTGAGGTCGGGAGTTCGAGACCAGCCTGGCCAACATGGTGAAACGCCATCTCTACTAAAAATACAAAAAGTAGCTGGGTGTGGTGGCGCGCCTGTAATCCCAGCCACTGGGAGGCTGAGGCTAAAGAATTGCTTGAACCCGGGAAGCTCAGGTTGAAGTGAGCTAAGATCACACCATTGCACCCCAGCCTGGGCGACAGAGAGAGACGCTGTCTC